AAAAAGAGTAGCATTTTAGTTTTGTAGTGTCAAAATGTTTAGTACTGTTCCACATTTTAATGTCATTTTAATTAAAATTGGTAAGGATTTACTAACTATACTTGAAATGAGAAAGTGACCTTGAAGGATGTCAACAAACAGAGGGAATCTCGATACCCTCAACAAACCGAGAGGCAAGCAGGGGGGTATAATTCTTGATGACAGAGAAAAAAGAAAGGAAGTAGAAGACCAAGTGAAGACTGCTAGCAAAAAAGAGGTTCCGTTTGAAGAGGTAGGAAATAGCTATTTAAGAAATGTCAAGCTCTTATCTTACCAAATATAGCTGTTCTATATAGGTGAAAAATCTGTGGAGGTAATGAAGATAATTATCAAACACATGAACTTAAACTAATAAGTTCTTATTTAGCTGTGAACCACAACTTAAACAATTAATAGCCTCACATTGGCTTCAGAAAAGATGCAAATTAATAACTTACCATCATATCGGGCAAAGGAATCTTAACTTTAGAGAGCATAATTTCGCAATTATATGCCCGCCGAAGTTCAATCTGCCAGAACAAGTAGATACATGAAACATAAGTTGCTTTTGATGAAAATATGTAACAAATGTATCAAAGTCACAGTGTGCTAGCCACAATTTTTATATTTAACACAAATGAAAAGGTAGTCATTGTTCAATAAGTAACTACTTCATACAAAAGTCAGGATATAAAAAGTAGTTCGAAGTTCAAAATTTGCAAGTTCAACTGTTCCATTTTTCAACAAAGAAACTAACAACTTAAAATTGTCCCGTACCAATGAGATATTCAATGACATGCAGATGTAATCATCTAAGTATAAACTAAGAGTCAAGCCTACAAGTTCAGCAGGCGACATAAATCTTTTGCTATAATTGCATGGCTTCTAATCCATCTAGAAAGAAAAAATGCATGACATGCACGAGTTAATACCCAAACATAGGTTCACGAATTAAAACTAACTATATTTTGCAGTAACACTGTAACAGAATCCAATCGATGGGATTAGCTTCTTTAACATCTAAAATTATGTCAGAATCTTCAGTCAAAGAAATAAGTCTGGCAACAAGTTTATTTCTTTGATTACCAAATGAACTTTATCTGATTTTGGCCCTGAGGCTCGGCGATTTGAATTTCCACCAGAACCTCCAGAGTCTGAATTTGGTGCAGCTGCAGAGAAAAGACTTTCAAGTTCGGACATGTCAAACTCCGGAGCTCTATCACATAAAGATAACTAAATTAACAAAACGAATCTTATAATATATAAGAGACAACCTAAAATATAGGACACGTACTTGGAGGCTTCATCAGTCTTTTGTGTCTCTGCCCATAAGCTTCCTTGCATGGCCCTTGTTAATTTTAACCAGTGATAAGGCTTCAAATTGGATCTTTTAGGTAGAGACTGGTTTTTGGAGTTCAAACGTCCAAGGCCTCGTCCCTTTGAATTGAATAGAGCACTAGAAGGTGGTCCAGGAATAGAAGGTATGTTGCCGTTATTAATGCCAATGTGAGACTGTGAGGAAGTACCATTGACATTCGAAAGTTTATTACCACTAAAAGGAGGAGGGGGTGCAGGTGGAGCATGTGTTGGTGAATCCTTCATAGGAGAACCTGGAGGAGGTGGTGCAGGTGGAGCTGACGATACAACACCAAGACTTAATGGGGATCCAGAATTCACAAAA